AATATGTTTTTCGTACGATTATTTTACAACATGGCGCTGCTTATCATTATGGTTTCGTTAGACTGACATCATGCAAATACATGATTCTGATTTTCAAAATTGATGATTTGGAAAGCTACAGAAAATCGCTGAAAGCGACACAATTGAAATTTATACAGCCTGGAGTTAATGTCTCAAATGGCTCCGTAAATGAAAAAATTAAATGGTTTATAGCAGATGTATTGGCAATTGCTTAAATAACGTAAGTGTAGCTTGCTTTTTTTGTTCTTCTTAGATGCCGTTTGTCTCTTTATCGTTTTGCATATATGTTTACAGTACGTGAATTTTACGAAACTCATGATTTAGAAGCCAATGTGTGTAATCTTAGTGTTTCCCGTTATCTAAGTTTTGAATTAACCAAAAATGAAATTATGTTCTTATATTCCAATGCAGTTACAGAAATTATAGGTATAACACACACAGTTTGACACATTCATTATCAACCTGACTCAATGTATCAGAACAAAGAGAAATTGATTCATAATAAATTTTATTACAAATTGTTATCGCTTTAAAAAACCTGTTTTGTATTTGCTTTCGTTTTTTATGGCTTGCAATTTATTTGTTATGAAATCTTAATTTCTGCAATCTTAATTTCTCTGTCTGTCTCTATTACAACCTATTATGTTTTCATTGCCTTGTACTACTTTTGTTTGGTTTTCTGCTGGGCTATTTGCCGTTGGTCTTGTGTTGCTTGTTCTTGTTGAAACTGCGGTTATTGGACGCTGCGCTTGCTTGATGATCTGATTTTTACTTGCAATTGTTTCTTATCGAACAATAAGGGAGTTCCTTTTTTGTACAGTTGATGACCAGGCATTCACTTTAGCGTGTGTATAGGAGATGATTATTTTAACGTATGTTTCAGTTAGGATGTAAACCTTGCAATCAAATGCAAATTTTGAACGTGAAGTCGATGTAAAAGTCTTTAATCTGGCTTTAATTTTTTGATTAACCACATTCGGCGAACTTCCAAAGAAAATATTTTAAAAATAAATTTTTAATGAGTCCTAATACATCGCAATGAGTAGTTTATATATTTTAATACACGTAAGTGCGTATCAAAATGAGTTGCACGATATTTAAAATAATTGCTTAATGTAAAACAAAAAAAATGAAACAGCGAACATAAAAGTTCAAATAACACCTGTTCACTTTCAACAGTATCAATCCATCAAAGGTTCAGAACCATTTTTATACTAAAATGTCAATAAAGTTGGATATCCTAAAAAATAAGTCACTCAAGTGAAATCGCAGAAAGTCTAGGTTGAAGGATTTCCTCAAGTATATTAAGAAAATTGTAAGCGGTTGCTTACAAACCGAGATCCACATCAAACATAGAAACTTCTTAGTGCTTCTTTGTGGTCATCAGCTGTCTTTATAATCTTTACAATACAGTTCTTTTTAAAAGCTGAAACAATTTGTTATAAAAGTTATTATGAACCAATTTCTCTTTGACGTGATATATAATACAGTTTCTGAACTTGATTACAGAATAAGACGTGATCATGTTACACAAGTTATTTCACTTTGCGCAAGCTTTTGAATGAATGTGCATTTGGCAAACCCAAGAAGTATTTCAGATAACCAATCATCTTATCAAAATATTTTAACAAAAATACCATATTGATTAATAGTGCACATATGATAAACAAATCATAAAGACAATCCTGGGGAAAATGAGGCGCTTTTGTTCTTTATTATTTTTTATCTGGTGAATTTTACGAAACTCATAATTTAGAAGTCAATGTGTGTAATCTTAATGTTTCCCGTTATCTAAGTTTTGAGTTAACCAAACATGAAATTATATTCAATGCAGTTTCAGAAACCTGACTCAATAACTATATGGTACTTTTTGTGTCTGCGAAACGTATTCCTTTTGCAAAGTATTTTACATGTTTTCTTCTTGTTTTCCCTATCTCAGCGTTTTATATACAGATACAACTTCTACATATTTGGTAAGTGGATTAGTTATTCGAACTATTTCTAATTCCTTGCCTTATCATATATTGAACATGAGAAGCAGTTAACTTGCTTGTTTCTCCGAAATATTCTTCGATGTTCTAAAGAACATTTATTTTGATATCTCATCTATAAGATAACATTATAATCTCTTATCAACATGCTATATATGAAGAACAATTATCCATGCCTACATTGCTTGTAAATGTATTTGAATTAGAACTATCTTGTGTTGGAAATTGATACTGTTTGTGTAAACTCATAAAAAAACCCTCCTTTTGCACATGTTTGTATTTAAGTCAAATCCGCCTTTGCAAATGTAGCACTCATAATTGTAAATCTGTATCAGAACGAAACAACTTGACATGTCTCTTATATCCATCAAGACGGATAACGCTGAGAATTCCTTCCGATAACATTTCTCTTAAAGCCCCGAATAACTTATAATAAATGTACTTCAAAAACAAGCATGATCATCGATGCGTGACAATAAATCCCGAGAAAAATAAACGAAGAGAGTTTACACCCTTACCTTGCTCCAGGTTTTTCTGCAATAAACGTTTGTATAAAATCAATCAACAGAAGGTTTTGCAAATATGATGCCAAATGAACCTTCAATCAAATATCAATATGTTTTTTGTACGATTAATTTACAACATGCACACTGCTTACCATTATGATTTTATGGTTTTCTTTAGAATGCAAATATTTGATTTTTATCTTTTTTTATCTTTGAAATTAATAATTTGGAAAGCTACAGAAAAACGCTGAAATGTCCTGAAGTTAGTATCTCAAATGGTTCCTTAAATACAAAATGAAATGGTGTATTGCAGAGGTATTGGCACTGTCTTAAATAACGTCAGTGAAGCTTGCTTTGTGTTTATTTAAGATGCCGTTTGTCTCTTTATCGTATTTCATATATGTGTACACTGAAGGAATTTATATATATGACCTGATACTGAATTAGAACAAACTATACAAGGTATGCTGATTATATGTCATAACAATACACGTTGACGTTCAAAAGATATTGAAAACGTCCACGAATTGTTGGATAACGCCTCGTAAATCATTTGTCATAACGAATGATCGTGAAATTGGGCGACTGAAGTTGTTCGCTATGAAACTGTAAACTATGTATTTGTAAATAATAGCCAGACATTAAACTTGTTATTAAAGAAATTGTTTTATATCACAGTTTATCAGTTTGCAAGGCAAACTGTTTTAACTTTTAAAGTTTTCGATAAAATAAATCTACCTGTTAATTTCATTCAGAAGGTTTTATGAAATAATTTGAGTGAAATCAAACTAACTCATGAAGAAATATCGTTACTGCAACACTTGTTCGATTGTTTATATTCAAGATAAGTGGTAGGTGAAAGACTGAATACGTGTTTTAACTAAGCAGAAATTAAGTATCATTTAGAATTCAATGTCATCCGTTGATGTGATAACAGCTAAGAGAACTTAGAACCGTTAATCCGACACTTTCGTGTGACTATCAGCCAAAGTATATATCCAATAGGCGATGAACAATGATAAAACATATGTTTGGTGTTTGATTGTATTGATTCACATTTTCATTTTTTATTCATTTATTTTGTAGGGGAGTACAAAGATGATACGTAGACTTTAATTTTTATGTTGATTGATTTTTCAACATTCCATTCTCATATCTCGGTGGTCGATATATCTACCAGGCTTTCTCTCTAACCAAGTGACTGACTAATACTCATACACAAGATTACTGAATAAGTGATGACATACAGATTATCGAGATTATCAAGGGAAATTTTGCTTTGGTCAAGGTTGAAAAAGTTAATAAAATCATTTAATTTAGCATAACGGAATTTTAGACTGCAACTGAGGTTTGATGCAAATGGTGATTATTACTATCTGACTTCCAGTATAAATTGATTTTAAAAGGAACAAGTATTTCTATTTATTATTTGTTTAGTATATCTTTTTAAATAACGGCCTGGATTTTAAGTTTATGTTTTACACCCTTGTCTCTGAAGCTGTGTAATTAAAGTACCGTTTCTTCTCAGGAATTTTGTTAATAGTTTAAACACACTTTTTAAGGTTACAAGGTTAATATATTGATGACTTTACAAGCTAGACAAAATAACCTTAGGTTTATGAGAAATTAGAGAACTTCTTCATCTAGTTGACTTACGTAAGCTGTTTTATACTTTCTCTTAGCGTCTTAGCTAGCAAAATTATACCTATCTCGGTGTCATTGAAACGTTTCCGCAATTGGTTTGAAACCATAACTGTTACATACCTTTTTGTCTGGTCAGACTGAGAATGCTTTGAAATGTTGAATTCATTGCTCTGTACTGGTATATTTTGTAATGAAATCGAGAACATTACTTCACTTACTTCTTACAAACATTATCAGTGCAATTAAAAGCTAAAAATCAACGTCTACATTATGATACAGTTACAGCATAGTGCCTTGAATGTAATTTTGACATTTTTGAATGTGTTATTTGTTACGAAAAGAGGCCTTTATTGTGGTGAACGCATTGTTTCAGGCTAGTGTTTTTAAAAGTGTTTTTTTAATGAGCTTTTTAATTTTTTTGTCCACAGATTTAGCCATGCTGTTGCACTTGATAAGTCTTACTAGTAATTAGTACACTTCGTGGATTATGAAGTAAGAGTCTATAATATATGTCCATGACACACTAGCTTCACTGGATGTTACTGTACGTTACCATTCCTTAAGTATGTATTGCGATATCACATAAGCCATGAAGCAGGAGTTTGATTAACCCATTAACCATAATCTGTATTACACTAATACAATTACACTTTGACGAGGCGTTATTTGCAAACATAGCCTGTTTCAATATATGCGTGTCATATGATTTTATTCAACTCTTACAATACATTAAGTATTAAATATACACACATTCAATACCCTCTATTATACTATATGTTTGTACGAAAATCATATTTAATAACACTAACAACAATAACAAAGGAATACAAAACACAGGTTTGTTTCCTATCAAACATTTTAATGAAGATTCAAGTACAAAACCATTTAATCTTGCAAAATGTAAAAGAATAGCAATGTGTTAGTGCCGTTGCATTAAAATGTCAAAATAGTTAACTTCAACATAGTATAAGTAAACACGTTTGTCAACTAACTAACTGTACATTTCAAGTTACCTTACAAACTTTGTTCATTGGACTGAATAATCATATACTATTAATGTATTCATTTAACTTTGGCCAAATATTTACATATTAACAGTGTCTCTAAATGAGTAGGATAAGCAGGTAGTCGTTTTAGAAAATATAAAAAACAACAGTAAACTATGTCAGCTACAATATGTGTATGTGTGCCTTATTTTTAGATTTCCGACCTAATGTACATTTTATAGGAAGTGTCATGTAACAGTGACTTCATAGAAGATAAAACTCTTTCACGTGGCATGAATCTATAAAGCAATGTTATACGAGAATTGTCAAAATAGGATGTGAGAGTGCCATTTGATTTATTACAATACAACCCGAAAAATGCTGACATATTTAGATTCATAAAAGACACTCCAGCTAAGGGTTTTTAACATAAAAGGGCTATTTTTTCGTTTCTTTGGAGCTTGATATTCCTTTTGATGTAGGTCTAAAACAATATATTGTATGCCAATTCAATTGAAATTTTAAAATAATTTAAAGTTATGCTGTTTTCGTGACCATTTGTTATGGGTGTATCATGAACGATTTATAATCTTTGTATCTATGTAGGTTACTATACATTAATATTCTTCGTAAAATAGATTGAAATGTACAGGGTCGCGCTATTCTCCAGCTATCTGAGTTGGTTAAATGATGATTCCACGCATGCCATAAAATACACTACCACATTCCTTTCATTCCAGGTTTTCTGTAATTATTTTAATTAAAATATTAATAATTATTTTCCAGTCGGCAATTAGCAAATATATATCTTAATGCACTTTCAAACAATATTCGTTAGATAAACCGATTTCTCATCAATATTACGGTGTGCGTCATATACCAATATAAAAAATATAACGATACAGAGTTATATAACCATCGTTTATCATATACCCGTGCCAATTTTCCGACACCCTGAAAATGGTATTGCAAGTCCGTGCATATATTTTGCGTGACGTCATTTGCGTTTTACAAACATTATGTTAAGACTAAACATAATAAATTATAGGCCAAGGCGTGTCAATGAAAATTGATTCTTTTGAATTGAAACAGTCGTTATTATGGGTATGTGATAAATAGAATATTATATTCGTTAAGGTTCATCGCTGACTTTATTGAACTCGTTAAATAAAATAATATTATGCTCGACAGAGGATTGCATAATATAATTAATTGTATTCCACCCGTTCAATAAATTAAGTTTTAAATCTCCACTCATTCAAAATCCACCTCTATACATTACACACTGTTACAAAACGAGCATTACAACTTGTGTGCATGATTAACTATTGTAAAGGCACACTTATTTACTATATTTTCCTTGTTTATAATTAATTTAAACAAACCCCGAGACTGAAGCATTAAGTATGCGATATGATATGAATAAAGTCATAAAATCCTACATTCGCATGTATTATGAGATTTATACTTGCATTGTTATTTTAATCAATGTAAAATTACTTGACGTAAGGAATCATGACTTAAACATTTTTTTTCTAAAAATAGAGAAAATACGAAAATACGAATCCCTAAAGAAAGCCCAACACGGCAAAATTGAATATGCTGCATGCTCGGTTTGATTGAGCCTGTTCATGGACGGTACTGTCAAACGCAAACTACCGTCCATTCCCCTAGCACTGACATAAGCAGAATTTCACTTAAACATGAAATGGTAGTCATAAAACGGCTCTCTGCGTCCTAGATACAAGAGGAAAATTTTCATTTGCGTTAAATTTTGGTAGACCATTTTAGTTGGCAACGATATGCTTCCACTTTCAATGTGTTGTTTTGATAGATAGAAAATGTTCATTACTTTTTTTTCTAACATACAAAATAATTTTGATATAAATTAACATAGTGATCATGATATAAATAGTAATAAAACAGTCAATATGAATAAATATGAAGTAAGTGGTATCCCAGCAGCTGCGTTATTATCAGAGCTTAACATTCCTTTTGTGGTGCCTTTGCAGCACTTCGAATCCTCAATATTTAAACTACATACAAATTCTGGAAACGTTGCGTCGGCCTTTAACATTGGCCGTTCGACAAGTCGAAGGTTTGGTTCGCCGATCGAAGCTTGAATCGAATGAGCAGTTCTTGATAGCATACATGCTGAATTGTTCATGTCAAAATTAATGATTTTTTCATTTAGAAGGTTTGAACCCAAAATTATATCACAATCTACAACGGATGACGTGAGATTTGTTTCACAGAAAGTCTTAACTTGCAAACGTCGATGCATATAGATTCTCCCGTTGCTCTTGATAACAAATTTAGGACTGTCGACTTCTTTCTGCTCTCCAGCCCTAAATATAGAATTAACATATATCTTAAGTATAATATTAATTGATATCGTAATTATAATATTAATTATATATTGTGACAGACACAGGGTTGACCTTAATTTCTTTATTCATTGCTAGTCAGATATCTTAAAATAATTTTGTACAAACATTAATGAATATAGAAATGTCATAACTATTATTGATCATAGTTTTGATTATTGTATAACAAATCCGATCAACAACTTGCATATATTTTTTTTAATTAAACACTGCGGTGTACAGGAGTAGTTACGATTTAAACTCATACGGGTTGTTAATTAAAGAAAGTGTATTAAAGTTACTTACACATTTGAAATATGTAGAGATGGAGTCCAAATCTTTTTCTCGTCCACAGTTATTTCCTTGACAACAAGTGGATACCAAGACAGTCGGGTGTCATTCCAATTCTGAAAGGATAATGACTAGAATTCCCTCACAGAAAAAAGAAACATTACGTAACAATAAAAATATGTGTATACACTAAATTACTTTAATACTTATACTGTAACAGATGTTTTACAGTGATTTGATTTTTTAAATGGTTTTAGGGTTGGTAATCAAGATATCATATCAGTATTCAAAATCAAGAATAATGTTGCGGTAAGAAGATGATACCATAAGCTATAGAATGATTGATATCTACTCACAACTTCAAGTTCAACTGTTGATTCCAATGTTTGAGCAACAATGTCAAGACTTGATATGTGCAACACATTTAAATTCACACTCAGCAAAACTGGGTCAGGATAATGTTTTCTGGGAGGTACTTCGGGTTTGTATTTGTGAAAAACAGTGCTAACGATCTGAACAGCCTCATCGATATATTTGGCATTGTCGTTCTCTTGATCGCCTCTCGATTGCGCAAAGGTCCTGAAAATAAACATACGTTAAGAAATATGATAAGAATGATATATTTACTACTGTTGTTGTCCAAAATCGTTATACCTTGCGCGATAAATACCATAAATTAAAGTTGCAAAATTTAGCATATGAATTTTTATCGCATTCATTACGGCGGACTGGTCTTATTCTTAGCATGCAAGTAATAACAGACTAGGTAAAAAAGGAATTTGTATGCACGCAATGTATCGAACGCGACGGTGCAAGAAGCCAATGTCCATACCGATGCTTAAAATATTAAAAAAAAAGAAAAAAAGTATAACTCATCTTTTTTTAAGAAATTAACTTTAGTCATGATGTAATATTTAGAAAGACCACCAGTTCTTTTAACCGTTGTTTTGAGAAATCAGTTTATTTTTAATGTAACTTTATGAAATAACCTAAATTTTGCCTATGAAATTGATTTAGAAATATGAGGTACGAGGGGAAATGAGAAAATATCAGGACTTTTGACTCGTACGCGAAAACCATACAACATTTTTAAAAAAAATCTTTTTACTTTTTTTCAAAATATTCTCTACCTATGTCTACGCACTTTTGCCATCTTTGTGGGAGCTTTTGTATTCCCGCTGTGAACCATGACGTAGACCTATGTTTTAGGTACTGTGTAATAGCAGATATCAAAGCCGCCCTGGTCTTATATTTCTTTCCCGCAAGCAATTTTATCAGTTCTAGAAACAAAAGTCACAGGGGGCGAGGTCTGGGCTATAAGAAGGGTGAGACAACAATTGCCATTTGTTAGAGTGGATAACCTCCACTGTAGCGGCGGCGGTATGGGTGGGGCGTTATCGTGAAGGAGGACATTTTTCTGTGCTAACCTGGGACGCATTTGCTTCAGCTTTTCTCTGAGATTTTTCAGAATTACTTCAGAATAGTACTTGGCAGTGACAGTTTGACCCTTTGGCATGAAATGAGTAAGTATCATTCCTCGTGAATCCCAAAAGGCAACAAGCATGACTTTGCCAGCCAAAGGAGACAGCTTAAACTTTTTAGAAGGTAGGGAACCAGCTCGTTTCCACTGCTTTGACTGAGCTTTTGTCTCGGGTTCGGAATAATGAACCAACATCTCATCTCCAGTGATAATGCGGTTCAAAATCTTATCTCCTTTACGATTAAAACGACTTAAATGTTATTTTGCATTGGTTACTCTGGCTGCCTTTTGATCTGCCGACAGCTGTCTAGGCACCCACCTGGCACTTACCTTGCTCATGCCTAGGTGTTCGTTTAAAATCTTGTGTGCCGATGCCTTACCGATGCTTAACTTGTTGGCTACCTCCTCCAAAGTTACTCGACGATTTTTGTTGACAAAAGCTTTAACATTTGCTACCATTGTTGGGGTCACCGCCTCAGCTGACCGCCCAGTTTTAGGCCTATCACAAACACTTGTTCTGCCCTCACGAAACTGAGAAACCCAGTTGTAGAAGGTTGAACGTGATACCCATTTATCAGAAATTCTTTTTAAGCCTCTGAAAGATGTGGCAGGGCTTTTCACCTTCTGCAACCAGAAACTTTATTACAGAGCGTTGTTCCTCTAACAAAGAGTCCATGATAGACGAAACACATATCATATATCAGAGGGTAAAATACTGTCTATACACAACTATCATTGAAAATAAACTGACCACGTTATTGTCGATTCACCAATATATAATGTGTGTATATAGTTGCACGTGGACAGAGAGGAGAATGTAACGTCCGGTTATTTTCTGATCGTCGTTTTAAAGAATTGAGAACTTAAAATATCTATTAACGTGTTTGTTTGTTGTATTTCAATCTAAAAATTATATATATATATATATATATATATATATATATATATATATATATATATATATATATATATATATATATATATATATATATATATATATATATATATATATATATATATATATATATATATATAAATTTAACAAATAGCAGAAACCTTTAGATAATTTATATATAATTATTGAAATTAACTTCGTGTTATTTGTCATACAGTTTCGAACAGCAATATATTATGAACACGTGTTGAGTACATGTAAAAGACTTTTTTTGGCAATGACACAAAGAAAGACGTAAAAATGCATACTCTAGATAAAACAACGAACATATATATGACAAATATGTTCAATGTTATAGACTTGCAAAAACTTTAAATGTCAAATAAGACAAATTATTAGTCAATGCCCTATGCACTGTATTAATGTATACAGATATTTAAAACATTTACGCCCCTATGTTCATCATTTGATATCTCGGTGATTATGTTATTGGTTGTATTATTTATAAGCGATCAAATGGGTATGAACTTTCGTGTTAACATTTCAAGTCGAAGCATTTGCCACAAAACTATGTAAAAATAGAAAATGATATTGTAATCAAAAAGCGAGCTAAGAGTGCTGGTTTGTTTATATACTGCTGTGTATTCATATCTATGTTCGAAGCAAATCCGATGTAACTAATACATGAAACTGTTGGATATTATGGAAATAAATTATGACTTTTAAACTATACATATGCTCGTTTTAGGGAATGAACCGTGCTGCCCGATTCAGTCAAACACTACCTTTCAGTTAAACTTATCGGACGATGCCATGCAATCAATCTGACAGCGCTTAACACAGTAAGTAGCTAAAAGTGGTAATTACCAATGTTAAATTCCTGAAACTTCGAATGGATTTCTGGTAGTTACAAAAACATTTTTTACTAATTTCTTTAAACAACTGCAGGAGGTATAGGGTTCAAGAAAATGATAATTATCATGGGTATTAAAGAACGTGTTCGCCAAGTGATCGTTTTTCACCTTGCTGACAAATTCCACCCTTACATCGTAAAAGCATATGTGGCATATCAATCAATTGAGACATGTTGAGGGTTTCATGCAAACTAGTTCAGCAGGAATATTTATGTTTTTGGCAAGTACATTGATAGTCACTGTGGATAACCTGTTTGCACTTGGATAGGTAAAGAATGCCCAAGCTATTGTTCTGTTTGAATAAATGATTATAAAGACAGCTGATGAACAAATGTGACCACAAAGAAGCACTAAGAATTTTTTATGTTTCATGTAGATGTCGGTTCGCGAGGAACGTTTATCTTATAATTTTCTTTATATTTTTGAGAAAATCTTTTAACCTAGACTTTATGCGATTTCACTTGGCTAATTTATTTTAGGATATTCAACTTTATTGATATTTACCCTTCAATTGCCTTGTATTGAAAAGGAACCATTTTAGTATAAAAATGAGTCTGAACCTTTGATGGATTGATACTGTTGAAAGTTTACAGGTATAATTTGAAGTTTATGCCAAAATGAAATACACTTTAATTTGTTCCTTGTTTCATTTTACTGTTTTAAATTAAGCCATTACTTTAATACGCACTCACGCGTTTAAAATATATAAACTGCTAATCGCGATGTATTAAGACTCATTTAAAACTTATTTTTAAAACGTTTTCTTCCGAAGGTCACCGAATGTGGTTTATCAAAAAACTGAATACCAGATTATGGACTTTAACATCGAATATAATTGTAAATATATATGTCTGTGTCCCGAGACTCTAAGCCGGGATAACAATTAATGTTTCAATTTTATAAAAAAATGTATTTGAGAAAATTTGTTTTTATATGGTACCTATAATTTCTAAAATTGTCCTTCAATGTGATAATAAAATTTCATTTTTCGGTTATATCAAATACTTGATTTCGGGCCACATGAAAATTACACAACTTTGCTTTTCAACAAGGAGTTTCGAAATATTTACCAGATAAAAAATAAAAGAACAGAAGCGCCTCTTTTTCCCAAGACTGTTTTTGTTATGAATCCTTTAGCATGTGTGCACTATCAATCAATATGGTATTTTTTGTTCAGATATTTTGATAAGATGAAAGGTTCTCTGAAATACTCATTGACTTTGCCAAATGCACATTCATTCAAAAGCTTGTGCAAAGAGAATTAACTTGTGCTATATTATTCGTGCTCAATGTGTATCAAAATTTATATACTGTATTCCATTGCTTAAATAACTGTCAACGGAAGACAAAATAAAATAATTCGAGCTTGTATGAAAATGTTATTGTACAAATACTTGACATGTTTATGCGTTTATCTGGTCAATAAATATTTGCACTGCGTGTATGCCCAAAAAATATGCTTAAATACTGTGTGAATGTCTTACCGATGCTTGAAAACAACTAACAACATAGTTAAAGTACAACAAAAATTCTAATAAAACATTATGAAATAGTAATAGCTAAGGTACCAAAACGAACGTACTCCATGTCCTTTGTCTGTACAACAGCACATTTAAATCCCTCTTATAATATTCGAGTTAATGCAGATTAATAAGCCAGTTTGATTCTGTTTTATTGAAGTTAATGTAAACATTTGCGTATTTAAACATCCTTAATAGCTACTCAAATCATCAGGTTTTCCTTGTATTAATACTGGTGTAAAGCTTTTTTCCCAGTAAATCTGTCAGTTTATTGACCCTCTAGGTAAATCCTGCCCGACAAAAGAAATTGTTCATTTACCTGGTAAGATCATTATGAGGGGAGTATAAAATTCCTTGAGTGAAATTGAGCCGACTAAATGAGATGAACGATTTAACAGCCCATTGTTCTAAGTCTAGGTAGGTAGTTGGTGAAGACACATTAACTGAGAAAATAATTTAACTTTCTTAAAACAGCAAGAACATTGAAATTAATCTTTCAAACGTCCGATTATTGAGTATTTTTGTTACTAAGAATAGAACAACTCTATCTATGTAAATATATTTATAGGCATTGTTTAACAGCAATAGACACTGCATTTCATATTTTAATAATAATTGTTTCTATGATAAGGGTTTATTTTCTTCTAGCATTCCACTTGAACGTTATACACTGACTTAAACACAACACTTTAATAAGTATCATTTTATAAATGCTCTATGATAGTTTTGTTTTCACAAGCGATGTAAGACAGCTGGTTGCTACTATATTTTAATTGAAAAAAATGTTGTTTTTTGCAAAGCAGAAAATATGTTGTTAAAAAGTGATTTCTGAAAGTAAAGCATTGATAGCAGCGATCTGATGTTAGAAGCACGAAATATTTTGCTGAGATATATGAATCAAATATGTAAATTTCCTATCTATTTCAATTTCTTTCATTTTAAGTACATGTACAAATAATGATGAAGCTTGCAACATGCAATTGAGAAGTATTTTCATTACATACTTTTCGGTAGACAGCGTATACATATTTGAATAATTTTACAATTAAATAATTATATTGTAACTTTCACAGTACTGCATTAAATATCTAAATGCGAACGATGAGGGTATGTTAAATATCTCCTAACTTTAAAGCTACTGCCAGATATACATTCAGTCGAAAGTAAAATATGATTGATTGCGAGAAGCATATTATTAACTATATATATCATGTTGGACATATATTAAAATTTGTGAAGTTTACAGACTTATTTGTCAACAAGAAATATTCGACGTTATAATTTGATAAAAAATATCAGTATAGTTTACTTCAACTTACTTATAAAGCATGAAATCACATACATTTTACTCGTACTCACCAACTTGTATAGCTATAACATCTAATGGTAACATTGCGAATTTGTTTTGATCTTAAATACACTATCTACTATTTATAAACAAATAAATAATTCAATTCGTAATGCATGCTCTTTTTCCATAGTATTATTACACAACCCAATTAATTATTATTTTGAAACAAAACACTATGACACTGCTATACTATAATAACTTATAGGTAAATGAATTCACTGATGGTATGCATGATATTCTATAGCTGAAATTTTTCATATGGGTATTTGATTTACTGACTGACTAATATTCAAGCAAATAATTTTTAAATAATAAACACCACAAAACCGAAAAAAAATGAGTACTTCGGGCAGCAATTGATATCCTGATTGCTGAAGCATATAAACTGCCTTCACTTTTTCCGTACAATAAACGTAAAATGAATGTATCGGTATCATTGGCAATGCCAACGCAATTAATATGATATCACAAAAATGTGGCTTGTTCAATGTCTCGCAGCGTCAGATAGAAAACTGTAGAACGTAACATGTATTACTATATTATATGTTACGGTAATTTCAGTTCCTATTAACATTACTTCTCAACAGGTATTTAAGCACACAAACATACAACATCAAGCATTAATATAACTGTAGTTCATAAAACTACTACATAATGGTTTCTGAAGTTTATACGTCTTTATGAGCAAATGTGCTTACAAATAGAAATCAGTATTCATTTTTTCAGTTTAACTTGATACTAATTTGCATAATTGAGCATTTATAAAACAACAAGAAGAAAACAACAAACAAACATAAAAAAACAAAACAACATTATAAATTGTTACTGGCTCAATGCCTAACAACTGCATTTCTTTCTTTATATGTTTTCAATTTGAAATTTAAAAGATTATTCCAAATATTCTAAAAACCTCTGTAAATTTTAAAATATTTAAATTGTATTTATTATAAATAGTATGGCTTTTTGTATTTGAAATAATGAACTGTCCGTAAAACGCATTTTGTATAACGTGTTATGTGTGTAACCTTTACATTATTCTTTTTAATTTGTCATGTGGTAATTTCTAGTTCAACTAACTTTGATAGGACTGTTTCAATATTATGTCATAGCATATAATGCTTGAAAGGAAGCCGTTTAATCTGACTTTTATTACACAAACAATGACACTGACATAAGGATTTTATTTAATTGATAGCACAGTAGTGTAATGATAATTAATTCTAGAGCAGAAAAAACACAAACAAATGAGTTCATAAGAAATTATTTAAACGCATCAACCCCCCCCCCCCAGCACCGGTCAAATGAATATATTGACACTAAGAAAATCAGTGATCTTGATGGACCAAAACAAGGTAATTACAAAATTGGGATGAAGTACTTAGCGACGAATTACTTTCTTATATCTACCTAGTATTTCTGATAATAGACAACCTTAGATAATTGCCATCTCGCGATTAACTCCAACATTTATTATTAAAACGGAAATAAAAAAGAGTCATTCGCGTTAATATTACAATTTAAATGCAAATTATATTTTTGTAGTAATGATATTTGTTAAAAGCAACAGTATCGAAAGGAGGTTAAATTTATTGATGCATAGTTAAACGAGCTAAAGCCCCATTTAGTGTAAAACAAAATATACATGTACATTAGCTGTAAATGCAATTTATAATAAGACATTTTTATACCAAACGTGTTTATAAAATTATACATAAAAAAATTATTTCAATTTTTTTTCAATTACATGTAAAATATTATTTTTGATATTACATTTATTGTAATGTACCCATATACTAAACAGCAATAGTGTGTAGACTTTAATTGTTGCAATTGTTATCAGCTATCGAAGCATGAAGCTATGTTATCTGCAGGTAAATGGTGCAAACTTTGTTTATAATCTGGTTGATAAGAGGAATCTTATTGATCGGAGGCTGATAAGGCACATTCTCAATAATAGGATAAAATAGACTGATGATTACACTGGATAAAAGAAAAATCTTGTCAACGGCTGCAAGCAAACAGTTGTAGTATTCATTACCAAAAAAAAGACCTTTTATTTGTTATAACTTTGATGTTTTCAATTATAACTATTTTCTCAGGTTTATATCATAGCGTACATACGTTTTTTATTAAATTGGCTTAAATTCAAGTCAAGACTAAAAGTTGCCCCGCATTTCACTTCAGATTTGCTATATTTTATCTGGTCCATCGTGATCATTGATTCCAACACTTTTAAGTGTTGAAAAATGGGTACCGCTACAGCCGTTGCTAGGGGGCGTGAGGGATGTTGCACTTTTGAGTAATCCCCCATGTGCAGACTCAATCAAACCGAGTCTGCAATTTTCATGTAATTTTGTTTTTATTAATGCTACCGAGGGATCACATTTTTCCATTTTTTATGTCTTTAACTTAATCGATTTATTTTTTATGTATAAACAACAAAGCATTTATTTATTATTGTCACTAATATCGCATAGCAGACATAATACTATTATTATTTATCAGATAAAATCAAGTGTTGTAACATAACATTTTGAATGTTCAAATAACAAACGCCATTCATAAATACTTCTTTTATAATCATTATTTTATCAAAGTGATATACAAATGACATACGTGGATGAAAAGAATCAACATAAAATAAAAAAATAACAAACCATGAAATATGTGCATGTATTGACAATTTTTCATTTATTTCCATATTTCAAAATGGTAGTAATATCATTATTGACATTATACTTTCACATTATATTATAAGATATTGTATAGCTTTGCAATCTAATAATTGTGCAAAAAGGAGACAAAATGAAAATCTCCATAGAACTCCAAAAATAACAAAATTAAAATGTTGCGAGCTCGGTTTTATTGAGCCTGATCACGGACGTTACTGTTAGTTACCGCCAACGCCCTCTAGCATCGTTTTCAGCTGTTTTTACGTTAATTTTAAACATGAAGATGGTGAAATTTTGAGTTTTGATACCTTTTGAAAACCAAACAGAAGACTCTATTATTTATTAGTTAGGTTAATCTTAGACACAATGTATAAACGTTATCATAATTAACTTATAAACTAAACGATTGAAAGAATGTATGTGTTGATATTACACTTAGTGATCACACTTTTCAAGCCTTTGCTTGTTGATCTTGTTTATCATATTTTAATATAGTAGCTGATGTGATGTTTAAAAATTCTGACAATTCAGACATTTCTGTAAATCAGTGGTGTTTACCTAACAGCTGACAGTTTTCATATTCGACATGGACAGGTAGCTTGCTATAAGGTGTATTAAGCTAACATGTTCCCTTACCGTGGTAAAAATTACACAGTTTTCGTTAAAGCATTTGCTCCTGATATATTTAGTGTATCGGTGAATTAACAAAATATCCAGTTTTATACAACTTTGGTTTAGACGAAATTCTTTTTATGAGTAATGTATTTATAAGTTTTATTTGATTGTAAAAATTCTCCAACATGTAAATTTGTTAAAAATGTATCAAATAGTATAGCCTCCCTGTCATACATCACGTCAAAATACTTTTTTGATTTGGTTTGTTCATATATTTCCCGTACACTTTTTTTTTTTATTTTAATCCAAACACTATAACTAATTAACTATCATGGAGTATCACAAACGCCAAATATACAAGAAGATTATAATAGCAATGACAAGGGTGGTATTTTACAGGCAACGCCGTATAAGTGGAGCTGGTATCAAACCAGAACGGTTGGAGTAGAAATTTATAAGATTTAACATCTATTTCTACAGCGATTATAGCCGAATCTGTAAATCATGTATTGTGTATATTTTGGAATCTAAACCAGAACGTTTGAATAACAAAAGAAAAAGAAGCTTTAATTTTTGATAATCAGTTCTATTGCAAATCATATATGTACGTAATCACAAAAATCCATTTGAATTTCAAAAATTAATTGCGAAGCTTTCAAGTCATTAAAACAAAACCGTGTCTTACCTTACTATGAAAACTGCCAGAACAGATACACACAATAAAATTCCATTTGTTTTCATTTTTGATATATTTTCCTATCACTTTTATTCAAATCCAAAAAAATATAACTATATAAATTAAGGAAAATAATTAATGCTAAATATTAACTAACTGCTTTTTCACTATCAGTGCTAATGATTAAATACAAACACTTCTCTATGTGATTATAAAGCAGTAAGATGCACTCTATGAACGAGGCCGTTTCTGTGAACAATCAGCGAAACAGTCAAAAGGTAACTCCTTCTTTTCACCTGTATGCTTGCTAAAACACTTTGGTTTCATCGCTCAATCAAAATTGTAATACGTCAGCCTATATGCAAACATACGATAACAGACACGATTATGAAGAGTAAAAAACATAAGCCTAGAACATCAACTTTTGATGTACTAGTACCTAGACAAGAACAAAGCTAAAGTAGAAGAAACGTATGACGGGAATAGCTAAATGTGGCGTACCTGTAGATTTTGTAATAACGGTGTATGCTGGCGTTGTAATAAAGTTTACATGATATAACCGTATCACAATTTCGTAGTTATGGAATACATGATTAGAATACATCTAATGATAAAGATACGATCATGAATGGACACTGAAATAAAGGGCTTTCGACTTCAACATTTTGAAGCATCATGTATTTGAATCAACATATGTCTAAAGACTTATGGTTATTTGGTAGAAAATCAAGTTGAAAATACACGCAACAAAAGTTTTAATCAAATCCAAATATATAATCTAAATCCTTTTATTTGTACATCAGGGCAACAGGTAAGAAAACATAGACCGAACAATGCCATGAAGACGTGTTTCTTTATCGTTTTATATATATTATGATCATATGTATCAAACATTTCCTAATAATCTTCACAGAGCATTTTTGTTTTTTACCTATTTACATACAATCAGAGAAGTTGCATTTTCCCTTTTCTAATTAGGTCCCTAAGTTGTCAATGTCAATAAATGACAATGAACATGAATCGCTACACATTAATTTAAGAATTTATTTTAAAAGAAATCAGCGTTATCAACACTGTAATTTATTCCTCCAATCGCAGTTTGATTACAGGAAAAATTAGAAGAAGGAAAATGCTCAAGCAAACTGTTCAGCAAACATCCGATGTGTCTAGACTGGAAGGAGTTATTTACGACAGATTTCGTGTTTACCTATATTAAACATACCTGTTTTTATTATTATTAAGCATGTTGTTCTAAATTGTTATCTTGTTTATGATTGGGATTTCATTAACATTACCTGGCTTAATGAAAACAGCTTGCCATAAGAAAATACAATCATGCAGGAATAAAATTATACCATTAAAACTTTATTCTTTAAAAAAATCATTTTTCTAGTGTATAAGTTTGTGTAAAAGAACACATTGAAGCGTATTTTGCTAAATGAGAAGAAATGTGAAATGTACAGGGAGTAGGAAATTTATAGAAGTATATCGGTTGTAGACCATTTGTGAACGTATTTTAAAGCTTTATCGAAATTTACTTAATTAAGATTCCAAATTTTGCAAGATTTCATTTTTATAATGAAAGGGTATTTTTAATATGTTTGTTTCGTTGAAGAAACACATCTGCAATAATTATTTATCAAACGCTTTATAATAACCAAAACGCTATATTCATTTAAATATGCCTGTACTCTCAATTACGATTCACCAATGTAATGCTTATCCTCATTGACTGCATTCAACTGTATAATCAAACAATACAATGAAACAAGACAAAAAAAATTATTGAAACCATAGTCACCACTCCATTATTTACAATGCCAGTTCTTGTACCGCCCTAATACACATATCCTTGAAAAAGGAAACAATAACAATAGCAATGAATTCAGCGACAAGAAAAACCTAGCAAAATTGGGCATATAATATTGTCTACTATAGTACAATATTTATACCAGGACACATAGCAAAATCAAAGTCCCCAATGTTAATCTAAGCACGAGGGTCTGCCTAAAAACCGAAACATCTCCCTTTTCATAATCCATTCATGGACAGTAAATTAAGCAAAAAAAGGATACATTTTCTGCAGTTTTTCAATTACTGCAACAGTTGCCTCCGAAAAAAAAAACGGAACAGGCTACAACAACAGGTCTCACAAGGATAAACACAAAACCCTTGTATGTCATTTATGTAAATACGCATCCGTTTAAAAAAAACGTTAAATCTGTTTCCTCTTATACTAATTTTATATCGATAAAAATTTAGTTTTAGGAATATTTCTTTTGGGTTTTAGCTTGATGAGCAACAGTATTGTTTTATGACTCTATGAAATATCACCATGAAAAATTGTTTGTGATAATAACAGACAATCACCACGTGAAATTGTGTTGTAATTTTCAATCAGCGTCTAACAATATTTTGAGATTATAAACAATCGCCATTAACAATTATTTTGTGAATATATATAATCGGCTTCTAAAATAATTAATATGTGATTATGATATACATTCCTCATGTAACATAATGTTGTCATTATTTACAATCATAATTATTTCTTAGGATTAAATATTATTATGTTCTACTCCTTTTTGTTTGATTGTATAATAATATGAAATTTAATAATTGTATGTCGGTACACATGACTAATTTGTTATGAGTTAAACTGAATGTGGTAAATTTGATAATCAAACGAATATAGAAAGAGTAAAAAAACAAAACTAAATGACTCACATGATTTACCAGAGCTGTACATTCAAACAGTAAACATATTTCTTTATTATATGCCTATAAATAAAATATTGATAAAGAGAGAACAAAATGCATATAATAAAAAGAAAATTCAAGCTTTTTTTCTGTAAATACAGCATTTTTTTTCATCTTGTGGTATGAAAAATTATCATATTTCACTTGTGGTTACCGCCACTCATGAAATATTTATTTTCTTACAACTCGATGAAAATAAATCCTGTATCTATAGAAAATCTTGAATATCCTCTATACATTTTTGCTTAAGAAAACTAAACAGCGATATAAACTTTTTTTCTGTTTTAATTTTATACTATTTTAACTGATATTTAATGCACTGTGTATAGAAAGGATCAAGATTATTCCAGATAAAATATAAAAAAGATGAAGAATATCTATTTTACTGATACAAGATAAAGCGTTTCATTGACTAGACTTAAGTATATTGTTGACTATGCATATGCTTTCGCAATGCTGTTAAACATACTTATGTACAATGTTAGCTTAAATTAGATATCAGGATAAAATATGAAAGAAACCAGAGTTTACCAGTTGAAATTTACCAGTTTCAATTTTTATAAAAAGGCTTATCGTTTTATTATTTGTTTCGAAATGATAATATAAACCCAAGGGTGTATTGTGCATGGTAAATTATTTTGGATACTCTCGAATTTACCAGTACTTGTACCATATCAGTAAATGTACCACTATGGCTAGTTGATAAGTAACATGAATTTCAGCCGCTAAAGTTTCTATCGTTTATATTTCATTCGCGGGGAAATATATGAAGTTTCACCATCGAAAATTAACACAACATATAAAGGCTTTGAATTAATTTTTATTTAACAAATGTAAGTGTGTATTATATAACACAATAACGTAATTGTCCCACGGAAGATGGGGTTCAGTTTATTTTATACAGATTTGTTTGGTGTTGGAAGCTATTAGCTTATTGAAACACTCTCGATTCCGTTTCTGGAACCAACCAGTACGTAGGAATGAATGTAAAGTTTCTTGCCCAAGGAAACAAGGGCTGACAGGGTTTGAACCCACGCGGTCAGCAATCCTTTAATTACTAGTACGGCGCGTTAACCACTCGGCCACGCCGCCACTTACGGTTTCTTTGAAAGCAACTCATGTATACGTTTGATAACTGTACCTGGGCTCTTACACTTTCACCAAAATATAAAATGGTCATTTTCTATATATATAAAAAAGAAAGGATGGATCTTGAGGTGTAATATTAAAGTGAACTCATGTCATTGAGTTTGCAAAATATTATATTCACTACCTTTGTCCAGTTGGCATCTGCAATTTATAATGAAACGGTCTAAACCGATAACTAATATAAAGAAGAAAAAACTCGTCCTAATCACGTCGCTACATTTTGCTTTAATAATGGATATTAAATCGGTACAAGCGATTCGGACAAGAATTAATACGGACAACACATATTTCGTACATACTCTTTAAAAATAAAGATATCACGCAATTTAACTGTCAACCCAAAGACATAAGTAAGTATATTTTATAAAATTATTGTGTTTAAAATGAATAAAATGTTAAACATTAATCATGTAATATCAGCAATGATATCTTACGTCTATAAAATTTATTGCTATTTTGATGAGCAACAAACACTTAATTTTAATATAAAAAACAAATTAATTCACTTTGATTATATACAGCCAAGCGGAATAAATGACTTTTCTATGTAACAACATCAACATTTCATCTATAAGCGTGCGATTGTAAGGTACAGAAGGTAATTAGAAACTCATTCGTAAGAATAAATTGAAAGAGGACATTAAAATCATATGATTTAAGTACACTTCTATAAATGGCACAAAATGACACTTGAGAATATAATTTTTTTTCTTAATTGTTCGTCGAAAGAAAAATGAGTCATGTCAAGTACAATTTATAATCTTATACCTTTCAATATTTACTTACTTTGATAAAAACAAATTATAACATGATGCAGACTTGTTTTTATATTATATTCAAACAATTATTGAACTCGTTCGAAAATAAAGGGTTTTAAAATCACAAGAGGTTCGCTGCTTTAAATTTATTTAGAACGAAAAATGAAATTTTCTTATAGTAGATTCTAAATCATATACAAGCTAAGTGTTTGAAATAAAGTAAATATTAAATTGTACAAAACTTCATTATATTATGTCTTATCGTATAAACAAACACGAAAAACGATATAATTTTGTTGTTTGCAAAGACTTACGATCCATTTCAAAGGTGCTGTATCATATTATATCTTTGCTATTTAAGACACATGACGACCGTACATAAATGCAATTAAATGTTTCTCCAGTTCATGTTTTAAATTTGGATTTCAACAGTTTCATGCATGCGCCATTCGCTCTGAAGGAAATAAAACAAACACATTTAAGTCAATTTGAAACTATTCTTATTCTTTTCAAAATTCGAACATGCAGTATACACATAGATGTATACACACCTCACATGCAGCAAATGATTTATGTGTTGTTAGCCTTTCATTTATTTAATTGATAACTATTTCGTAATAAAATGTTCAAGCTATATATCAGTGGAGGATTTGATGTATCAATTCGTGTGAAGTACGAACAACAGATGATTTTTATAGTTTACATATTAAGCTATTATTTGTTACAAACGTCATCAATGATAAAAAATCACAGCTTTTGTTAAAAGAGTATTTACAATTGATA